AGCCAAAACCACATATTCTAATAGAAAGAATGATTAAAAAGAAAGGACATTGAGCTAGATGTTAGAAGACGTAGGCTCAAAGTCCTGACTCTGCTCTGGGGCAGCCATGTCTTCTCTTTGATCTGTGCAAACTGAGCAGCAGATTTACTTGTTATAAGGGGTATTTCTATTCCTAGAGATTTTTTAAATATAAAATCCCTAATGATAATAACTCATGTTTCTTAGGTGGTTTTTAACTTTTCCTTTTTATGGTCCAGGAACCACTTGATCCACTTGATACTAAAAACTTGCAGCTTTTGGCATAACTGATGAGCTTCATCTTTCTTTCAATTGCATTAAATTCATGAGCTCTACATTTCTTATCATTGTATTCTTGTTTCCACTTGTTTTTATAAAATAGTAAAAGTAAAATACAATAAAACATTTAAGTATTTAAGTACCCACCTTGCCTTGGAGACAAAAATGGCAGTTATTTGTTTTTTGTGCACGAAGCGTAGATTCTGAAATTGGAATAGGAAAGGCAAGCTTTAGGAATATCAGCGTGTAATACTTGAAAGTATGACTTATATAAAAGTCAGGCATGTAAAACCTGACTTTATGCTAACAGGGGAATGGGGTCTCAAAAAGGAAAGAAGAATAAGAGATTCACATTAGAAGGTATAGAATTGAACTAGTGACCTTGAGCCAGCTAGCTTGTCCCCTGGCAATGAGCATACAGTCCGGATTTCCCTTCATCTACTTTATTACATGCATGTTGAATCCCTTTGCTGGGTTCTTCATTTAAATCCTTTATTAATCTCCATCAAAGTATATTCTTGAACTCTTGTTTGAGAGTGAAGGTTAGACTTCTTAAAATGTGATATTTATGATTTATATCTTTATGAATTATCATTTATTTCACATAAAATTAAGAAATCCTGTTTTAAAACCTTATGCTTGAAAAGTGGAAATTGATTAATTTAAAAGTTTAATTGTTTTTTTAATATGTGAAGTCCTTCACTTGATTCTAACAGTTAATACATATTCAATATTGATCTTATTTTTTTTAGAGTTTTGTGATTCTTTTATTCAATCAGGAAATCTTAATTCTTAAATAACAACTTCTAGAATATGTAAATCCTAAGATAATTTCCTGATTTTAAAAAAAAGATAATGATAATGAATTTCATGCATTGTGTCCAGAAAGTTAGTTAAATTTAGATTTGCTTTTTTTTTTTTTAAGTATTTTATTGTTGTTGTCGCAGTTTGGCCAGGACCAG